GTACGAAAACAGCCCTGGCCCTTGTTGTTGCTGTATAGCATCGTAACAAGCAAAGGAAAAATAATTTATTTCCCAAATTTATAATTTGTTTGATGTAAATATATTTATTTTAGGTACATAGCAAGGTGAAAGTTTCATGAAAATTTGAGCACTCGACATTAGGGATTCATTTATGGAATTCAAGAGCTTCATATTTGTACTGCGTCCTTGATTAGCATTTTGCTTGCATTACAAAATATATCACATATATCACTGCGCGTCTTATCAATGCAGCACAACCACGCCATTTTCCGTGGGGAAAAATAGTTTTGCAAGATAAAAAGCCCATTAACAAAAAAAGTACTCTTCCCATTAACAAAAAAGGATCTTCCTTGGACAAAGACGGTCTTCTACGGGTTAATGGCCGTTTCCACCTTGGAGGTTCTGCCAGCTGTATTTGAAGTTTTTACACTCACTGGTTCTTCACGTAGAAATCCGATTAATGATCCAAATGGTAAGGCAAGAGTACTACGTTTCAAAGCTAAAACCTCTAATTAAAAAATGCAGTTTCTATGCAAAGTGTGCACGTTTTACAAGCAACAAACACGCACCCAAATAATGGCCGCTGTACCCACTGAACGCTGCAGTTTCTCACTCCCCTTTTCTACAACTGAAGTAGATTTTGCAGCAATTGCCCGCTTCGTTGGCAGACGAGGATTCCCCTGAAAATTGATGAGCGACAATGCAAAAACGTTCATTGGCGCCCAGCGCGCAACAGAACGCGACTTCGTTAAATTCCTTAACGAATGTTCTGCGGACATTATCAAAAAATATGCCCCTGAAGGCATCAATTGGCAATATGGGCGGTTTGTTGGAATCTGCAGTGAAAAGCTTCAAAATCCATCTTAAGAAAACCGCTGCAACCCACAAGTTTACTTTCGAAGAATTTACAAGACGCTTTTGGTACGAACTGAAGCAGTCCTCAACTCGAGGCATCCATCCGCACTTTCCCAAGACCCAGCTGATATGACAGCACTTACTCCGGGTCACTTAATTCGAGGTGCACCGCTATTGGCCATTCCCGAACCTAATGCGGAAGGCCTCCCCCTTCTAAACCGGTGGGAGAAGGCCAAAGCACTTCACCACCAATTTAGTCGTCGCTGGAAAGAAGACTACCTGAAGGATCTTCAAAAGAGGTACAAGTGGAAAACCCTATAACGCGATCCTCAGCGAGGCGACCTCGTCGTGATCAAAGAAGATTCGTACATTTAAAACTGAAGCTAAGTCTTTGCTGTGAGCGGGAACCAAGTGCGTGAAGAGGTGAGTGCGAAAGGCGACCACTGGAAGTATTCACCAACTGATAAAAGAACCAACCTAAGAAAGAAGCCCAAAAATACTGTGGTCAGCGTAGCCGGAGTTGGACTGATGAGGGTTATTTTTTCTAAACGGATGACTTTTCTTAAATTTTGGACTGTGCTCTTTCTAACGGGTGGAGTTTTATTTTAGGTCCCAACCCAACCTCCCTCTCCTCTCCAACACACAAAATCATTGTACAAGTATCTAAACAGTTCCAGTGAATTTTATGAATAGTTTAAGAAAATTCCTAAACTACCAATTTTACACGTTTGTGAAAAACTATCGTTTGCCGAAAGCTGCACGAAAGTTTGCTCCACTGCTATAGCTTCCCATCTACGTTTTGCTCGACTCCTTCCACAAACCCCTTTCCCCAAATCCTGATGCTCCTGCATCAGCTGGACCAACCGCCCAAGTTGCTTTTTATAACTTACAAATGGGAGGCCAAAGCCGAATGTAATTTAAAAAAGTGATAACAAAAAGGAAAATAAAGTAAGTTGTTTTCATAGAAAGTGCTAAAGATTTGTATACACACCTCGTGTGCTTAAATTACCGGTTACTTTTAAATGAACGCGTCTGTTATGCGTTGAACTTTATCAACTAAAGGTAGAAGGTATTGTCGTTAATGATCATAGGGCGATTTACAGATGCATTCGGTTACAAGTAGCCGGTCATTTAAGCATAAGAGGTACACAGTGACGTATGCCATTTTCAAAATAAACGCTGCTCTCCACAATATTTGTGTTCATTATGGCATTGACATGGAAACCGACTACGAGGACATTATACAGCAAGAGCGGGTACAAAATGCTCATGAGGAGTTAGCAGATGAAGATTCAGTTGAAGTTACTCAAATTCGAAATTCAATAAAAAACGCTTTAATTTGATGTTTTTGTGGCTATATATGTGTAAAATGGTTTCATTTAATTAAAAAAATATACTTCAGTGCGTAACTTACTAGCTACTTTTAAATTTAATTATCTAATTGATTTTGCAGTATTTCTATTTTTTTTTTTTTTTGTATATCTATCTTGAAAGTCTCCTCTTCTCGTTCTTTTAACAGCTTCCGTTGTTCCTCCGCCAGGCGGTATTGTCTACGCTGGTACCGAGCACTTTTTTCCGGAATTTTTTTAATTTGTTTCAGTGCTGTTGTTTGTACATCCACTAGTTTCATTTTATCCTCTTTGGGGTTCGCTTTCCTACGAGGTGGCTGTGCGGCGTTTGTAATACGCGAAGGTCCGGCAATCGCCTCATCATCATTTGTAGCGGCTGCTGCTAAGTTGGTTGCACGTGAATATGCGAGAATGGGCTCATCGCAATCTGTGGCGGTAGTAGCCGCAGAGCGGGGACTTGTTGGTTCGTTCGCAACACCATATACGTAACCAGCTGGATTTAGCAATTCTTCAAATCCCATTAAATTTGCCACGGTTTCTTCAAGTGGAGCCAATGCCATTTGATTGAAAATTCCTCCGCCGGTTGATCTTGCCTCTTTTTTGTTATGGATCATTTTCTTTTTAACTTTTAATTTCAGATCTTTCCATACCTATAAATAATAAAAAGTTATAGGCTATAATATTCAATTTAAAACAATAGAAGATTAAAATTTTTTAAATATTTTGAATTTACCTTGTACCAGCCATTGCCATCTCGCACTGGTGGTCCAACTGCATTAATTTTCGTTGCGAGCTCCCAATCTTCTTTGGATGTGTTGTGAATAACCCCTTTTTGCTAAATATGGTTTTGTTCTAATTCTGCAACCGGAATTTCAAACTGCACACTAGTTGCTAAAAGCTTAGTTCTTTGCATCGTCTTTACCTGAGTATATCCAGTAAAAAAAACTGTGGTGAAGTCCTTTATGGGAATACAGTTTCCAGAGGTGAAATTTTTTGTAGCACAAAATTTCTTACACGCACGGTTGCTTTTCATCACTAATGACATAAACTTTAGAATTTATTAAAATAAAGTTTCGTTTAGTGCATCAATTTTACGGATAAACACAAATATACGGATTTACTTTAATATATAAATATGAAAGAAATTGTAAAGCCCCCGTTTTATGATAAATTTGTTACAAAATAACATTGCTTATTGGAACACTCTAAGCGCTGCCGCTCAAAAGTTGGTTTTCGTACGAAAACAGCCCTGGCCCTTGTTGTTGCTGTATAGCATCGTAACAAGCAAAGGAAAAATAATTTATTTCCCAAATTTATAATTTGTTTGATGTAAATATATTTATTTTAGGTACATAGCAAGGTGAAAGTTTCATGAAAATTTGAGCACTCGACATTAGGGATTCATTTATGGAATTCAAGAGCTTCATATTTGTACTGCGTCCTTGATTAGCATTTTGCTTGCATTACAAAATATATCACATATATCACTGCGCGTCTTATCAATGCAGCACAACCACGCCATTTTCCGTGGGGAAAAATAGTTTTGCAAGATAAAAAGCCCATTAACAAAAAAAGTACTCTT